CATTTTAAAAAACTCAAACAGTAAGAAACTATATTATGTTGTTTTTGAGTTAAAAAGGATGTATAAAATGAATGACCCATTTGGAACTTTGCAGGGGAAAGAGTATAATTACAACCATCATTTTACTAATATATCAAATAAATTAATGCTTTTGCATTTTCCAAAATTCTTTTTTTTTTTTTTTTTTTTTTTTAAAGATTTTATTTTTTTCCTTTTTCTCCCCAAAGCCCCCCGGTACATAGTTGTGCACTCTTCGCTGTGGGTTCTTCCAGCTGTGGCATGTGGGACGCTGCCTCAGCGTGGTCTGATGAGCAGTGCCATGTCCGCGCCCAGGATTCGAACCAACGAAACACTGGGCCGCCTGCAGCCGAGCGCGCGAACCCAACCACTCGGCCACGGGGCCAGCCCCTCCAAAATTCTTTATCCTCACACTTACAGTGATGATAAGCAGGAGTAAACTTTCGGAGTGCATACTATATGCCAGGCAGTGTTCTAAAGAGCCTCTGTGACCGTGATGGTGTCACTGATGAAGACTCTGTCCCCTGATTGGCACCCACTATGTGCCAAAGCTGCCCTGATGAGTTGGAACTCTCTGTGCCATGCAGTCCTTGTTCTGTTAATAATTATCTTATCTCGGGACCACATATTACATTTTGATCCAACTGATATTGCTTTAGGCACTGTTTTCATCAGAAACATTTTGGATGCAATAATATAATCCTGTTCAATTATCTCAAATAAAGGAGGCCAGGGAGGAGGTTATCATAAGGAGACATATCCACAAAATTTAGGGAAAAGCTGAACACCTGGGCAGCAGGAAGGGGAAGAACTGAGACAGGATCCTCAGCAGGGGGAGGTCATGGACTCCATGCTCCACTCAGCAAATTCAGATTGCTGAGAGAAAGCCCCATTGGCTCATCCCAATTTGTGGTTTTGTTCCCTTGGGTCATTTGTCCATCCTTGGTCCGCTCTACCATTGAGGGGAAGAAAACCAATAGGGTTGTATGGTAATTTAGACTGCCCCTTCCAATAGCTGTGGTCAGAAACAGAGAGCCAAGAAACTACCTTGTGGTATATGCCAACCCTTCATTCTTGAGGGTGCTGAGGCCTTGATGGTCCTGCCTGTGTGAGATTGTAATAACCTACATTTACCACTGGCTATGATATGGGGCTACCCCAGTGAGTTACTCAGATTCCACCCATATTCCTTCTACTTCCTATTTGGAGTTCTGACAGTCAGTCCAACCAACAGCATGACCCCTTTTTCCCCCAAGAAGGAATGACCTGGAATGACCTGGAGTGGTTATCCCAGTTTCCACTTCAGTGGAACTATGATTCCATCCCTTGGTGGAAGTGTTCTTCCCTTGGATGTCAAATTCTGCATATTAATAGGACTCAAGGTTGCAGGGATCAGATAGCTTTTTTTTTTTTCTTTTTGAAATTGACAAGAGGATCCTTTTTGAAATGTTTTGCCTGGCAATCAAAATTTAAATTTTTGCCACTATAACCAATACTTAATGAATGTGAAAATAAAGCTAAGAAGTCATATGGATGATTGAAATTCCAAAACGTCATTTCAATCATTAGTGTCCAACTTTTCCCACTGAATCTAGAATTGTTAATAAGTAAAAACTGTCTGAAAGAACCTTCTAGTTGAAAAGACTTTAAAGGTTGTTCAATAAAAAGAACTACTTTCGTTAAATCTCTGATCAACACCTACCCTCTGCCTAGTTCCAAAAATGACAGTTCACGTCTCCTTAGGACAGAGTTTTCCATAGACAGACAGCTCTAGTAGCTAAAAGGGTTGAAATATTTCTGTAACTTCAATTTTCTGGTCTTAGTTTATCTTAATTTGGAGAGTTCTAGACTAAGTCAGTGCATCAGTCCTTTTATATTCAAGGTCAGCCGTCTAATCTCAATTGTCTTTTTATCTCCATGCTAAACACCACCAATCCTTTCTATTTTAAAATTTTTTCCCAGACTCTTTGTCATCTTTTTCATTTTCTTATGTGTATACTTTAAGATGTGGTATCTCGAATTAACACTATTTCAGATTTGACCCACCAGTGCTAAGATTCAGTAGTAGAAACTCATTAATCTTTTAATAAATCAGTCTTAGCCCTGTTAGCAGTCCTGACAAGCTTGGATTGTATCAGGCTAGTATTTAACTAAAACTGTCAGATGTTTTTCCACATAAATTATTGATCATTCTAATCTTATGCAATTGGTTTTCAAAACCAACCTGCAAGCTACTTGCTAAGCCTCAAGTTATTGGTTTTGAGACAATGTTCCAGCTAATTCAGATTCTTTTAAATTGCTTTTGTAGTTATCGTTGTATTAGTTATTCTCCCCAGTTTTTCCTTTCCTGGCCTTCTCTTTAAGAATTGTAGACATTCAACGAACGTGCACGAAGAGACAGGATGTCACCTTGAAAAGGCCAGTGGGCAGCTCCAGGAAATCTCGTGAATTTACCACGGTCCATGATTTGGCCCTCTTCTCGTGGAGACTTGGAAATGGGATCTAAGGAATACTGGCATTAAACAAGGCTCCATAAACTCAACTATTGACTTATTAAGAATTATGACTTCCAACTGGACTTTGCCTTCTTGTTTTAAAATGTAGGCTTTATCATTATTCAGGTGTGGTGAAGCCAACAGATCAGGAGACAACTGCCATTGAGAATATAGTGTGTTACTCACAGTTCCCAAGAGGAAGAGGACCTGTCACACCACACAGGGCCACTCAGGGAAGCACCAGCATCAGTCTGGAGGCAGAGGGAGTGAGGGAAAAACAGGGGCAGGAGCCTATATTATAGCTTCTATGGAAATGCACGAGCAAGGCAGGGTAAGCAGGCTTAGGATTGGCTGGTTTGAATAATTTCAGTGGGCTCTAGGTGTAGAGGCTGTCTCTAGTTGTCTGGTACCTCCCCTGGGGTGATGAGAGCAGGCAGGTAGTGGCCTTAAATGTGAGAGCCCCATAGAGGAGGTGGTTGGAGTTTGGGCTCTGGATTGGTTGGTCTGCCTATGAAAGATGTATTCCCAGGCAAGTTGTTTTCTATCTCTGGGAATTAGCTAACCTGGGAGGGGCAGTCCCTCTGGTGTCAGCAAGACCCCAATACACCAAAGCATCAGCAAAATACAATAAATAAAAAACAGGATTAATACGATTCCCCTCACCCTGACAAGTTTGTTCTTTCCTTTAAGTAAGCTATATGGGAGTCAAATTATTAGAAGGCTACATGGTGAGTATTTAATCAGAATAAGAGTAGTTAGTTTTATCATTTGAGTTTTTAAAAGGTTCAGGTACTGGACGCCTGATGGGTGCGCCTCCACCAAAGAACATGCCGGACAGGTGTTACCACCTTCCCTGGGCGCTGCTTGGCTGGGCACTGGCGACACTTGTCTCGGTAACTGTGGTTGCTGTGTCCTCCACAAAATTACCCTTGCCATGAAATAGTATCGGCTGTATTGTGGAAATGCCAGCCAGGAGTAACTAAAAATGGCACCTCTCAAACTAATGAATGAAGTGTCATCATACCTTTCATACGTTTATGTTATGTTAAAGTCTAAATACACATACACACACACACACAAACACACATCCAATTCCTGATGCAAATATCTGTGACTTACCATTGGGATCCCAGTGACATATTCCACTTAATGGAGTGAAAATCCCATAGGATGGCTTTACAATCAGGCTCAGACAATCTCAGCTCCTAAATTGTACTTAGGATTGCTAGAAGGCTAAAAATTCTTCCAAATATGGCCAAGAAAGTTTTAATCCTAGTAAATTTTGTTTTCATGTTGGGATGAGAATAGCAACAAAAGTTATTCTTTCTTTGTTTTCTATTTACTCAAAGTAAACATATGGGGCACAATTTCTCTTGAGATTATGTTGAAATATTTACCATTAGTATTTGAGATAAATAGAAATCAGTCATAATCAAAATGACATTTTAAATCTTTATTGATACCATTTTAGGAACTAATCTATTTACATATTCTTCCAAACTCTATCCTTACAGCTTTTAAAGCCAAGAACTTTTCTCAATATTAAAACTTTCAAAAGAGGATTTAGCTACCTATAAACATCATGTACAATTCTAAATTCTGAATCAAAAAATATTTCTAATATAATTAATATTGATATTCTTCAAAACATTAAATGGAGAACCTCCAATTATTTTTCAAACAAAAGCCACAAGAAATTAAATAATTTACTATGTACATCACAACTTGCTCATATCCAATTGCCAGGAAAAGCATCATGCCAACTGTTCGGAGGGCCTCCACTGACAAAGGCAAAGAAATCAAGCTGTATATGACGATCATCAAATTCACACACTCAGGTTTTGTATAGTTTGATCTATTCTTTGTTGTAAGGCTGCTAGATTGAAATGAGGACTCTTTATATAAACATGACATTTTGAAATCATATAGATAATTTAGTCATTTTATAATATTTTATGACAGTAGCATGGTATTCATTTATTTTGTTAGAAGTTATTCACAGGTCCTAATATACTAGATGATTGGAATGTCACACTAAGGAAATTATCCTTACGTATCCTTATTATTTAAATGTCTAATAACAATATATCAGAAATAAAAAGATACTGTTTAATATTGATCAAATATTTAGTACATTTTCTAATTAAGCTTCTACTGGCTGTCTTAATTTTAGCTAACCTAAGATAATCTAACAATCAATTTTTCCTCTTTTAAAACAAAGCAAGTATTTAGGTTATACTTGTGATAAATCCCAAGCTCTTTTTTTAAGTTGTTCTTAGAAAGACAAGAATAATTTGATATAAGTAAAGAGGATTGCTTTTTCACTTTTATATTATCTCGTTATTGGGAACCTATGGATAGACTTCAAAAAATAATACCAGGAATTAAAAGATATGGAGAAATAAGAATTCCCTAAGATAACGTTATGGCAAAGTTTGTCTGAAAAACAAAATAAAGCAAAAGATAGCACACAAACACTTGGCCTAGACTAGCACGAGCTTGTGAAACTGAGCCACCATGTGACATTGACGAAGCCGACAACACGAGCATGAGCCGCTCAGTCTATAATAGTGGTTGACCTTTTAAAATTTTAACTACATTTTTACCTACCTGCAGTCAACATTGTTTAAGAATTAGTTCATTGTTTCTTTGTAGCTTAGGCTTATTGATCATAGAACATTTTATAGCTGTCAATATTTTCTTTTATGGTTTTCACATCATGGAAAATTAGAATCTTATTTATTGAAATGTTTAAAAAAACTTATTGACTTGAATGCAACGTTTCCTAATAAAATATTTGGCAAATCTGAAATTTTTTTTTAAGTTATCTCTTTCTTTGCTGATTTTTGTTTACGTTAAAAACTTCGACCACATGAAGGTTGTTCAATATTGGAGGTTTTGAGAAAAATAGCTTTAATTTTGTTTGAGAGAATTTCCTCAGCAGAAACTATATGTTATTTGGGTGTTCACAGTACTTACTATGATACACAGTACATTTTGATCCCCCCTAACCATTACGGACTAACTGATTACAAGACTTAAAAGAATGAACATTTGAGATTTCTTCTCTAGTTCTCTATTTCTGATGTAGACATTTAACAAAATGTGTCTTCTAGCCAGCTCTTAAAAGTTTACTAATTGCTTAATTTGTTCTGTTTGCAATGACTGTCTCCTTAACAACATTTTTTTACTTTTGAATTCTTTAGGGAAAATAGGAACTGTTGGCATAAGCACTTTTTGGCCACAAGAAAGAAGGCTGGAAATCTTGTTGCTGACGTTGATGTCCGAGACGGGAGGGTGCAGATTCACATTTAAGGGGGGCAGAAATCCTGGTCTGGTTCCGGGAATGCTGTGATCTAAAGGGAAAGCTCCAGAACCACGCCTTTCTAAAATTGCGTGATTTCTCCTGCTCAGGGGACCGGGGGGAATATTCTCCATCAATTCCTTGGACCCTGACAACAAGGAAGAAGATGGGGAGAGGATCTTTTTCTTTCCTATAAATGCTTTGCCGTCTTCTAAGGTTGCAGGGGTTAGGCCAGAGGAGAGCTGGGAATCAGAGCTGTAGTGATTTGCCCCTGAGTTTCTTTTCTGAACTATACTTCTTAGGGTGGAAGCAAATATTGTCTGGTTAGAGTCTGGGTCCTGGTCAACAGGGATTTCAATGCATTGCTGATTTCCTTCTGAAAAAAGGGACTGGTAATTTATCTCATCATGTGACATCTTCCTTGAGCTGGCCCGATCAAAGGCTCTTAGCAAATGTGCAGTGTCTTTTATATCAATGCTTTCGTGCCTAGTGATGAATCGCTTGGAAAGTGCCAGCCCATTGGTTTTGTAGGATAATTCTTCCTCTGGAGTGATATCCTGGAGTTCCTCTTGCAAAGAGGCCACTCTGTGCTGGTGCATTAATGAGGGGGGACTCTTGATCCAGGGTGGAGCCTGGGGTAGCTTGGGCCCATTAGGAGCCATGGCAGGCTTCCTCACAGGGGAGCCTGGGTCCAGTGCATCATCACTGCTTCCTGAGGGCTCCAGGTCTTTAAAGCCAAAAAGTGTCGTTTCGGTTTCAGGAGAAGGTGAAAGTGGCGACGAGGCAGTTTTGATGTCTATTTCTGAAGGAGTGGCACAGGCGGCTGGTGCAGGACTCCTGTCTGTATCCGCAGGAGGCATGTTTAAGTACTGTCTGGTCGTGTGCCTGCCAGAAGGCGATTTTGCTGTTGTTATGATAATGACCTCTTTCCCTTTTGCCCTGCAAGCACTAAGCAGAACTTTCAGGGTCTCTCTATCTTCTGAATTTATAGCATAAACGAGGGCCGAGGAACTAGAATGGTCTTGCAAGCTGAGGTCAGCCCCGCTCTTCACGAGCAGAGACACAACTTCAGGACCGGCTTTTTCTAAGCAAGCGTGCATCAGAGCAGTTTTCCCAGACTTGTCCTGTATGTTCGGATCAGCATTGTTTTCTAACAGGTATTTAACCATTTTGGCTTTACTGACACCCTGGGGATCAACGTGTTTGGTCTTACAAGCGATCATTAGGGGTGTTTCCCCGCGGTCATTGCTCTCGTTGATGTAGGCGCCGCCTTCCAGCAAGAGTCTTGTGAGGCGAAGCCGGCTCTGATGCACAGCTTTGATCAGGGAATTTCCATCACTTGACAATTCTACACCTTCATCCATCTTCAAAAATCAGCAATCAATACCTGGGTATCCAAGAAGATGAAGACCACAAGATTAGCCAGAATCAATGCCCCAAGTTATATTCATGTTATTAGTCACAATTGCTGAAATATGTATAGAGAAAGAGGACATAAATGAGATTACACAATTAGTAAATACAGAGCAAAATAGTGAATTGTGAAATAAAAAATTTTAGAATGGTAACAATGCTTAGAGAATACAAACCAAAATTTACTTTCAAAATCTTCATCAAATTTGATATAACACAAACCCAGTACTTCCCTAAATCTGACATTAATTAAACAATAACACACTTATTTTCTACTTGTGAAAAATATTTTTTAAATAACACTAAAATGCAAATTTAAGCAAAAGAGCCAAAATTCTGTGTAACAACAGAATCAATTAAAATATAGTGTGTTTATGGTAGCTTAACGTAAAAACGTCCTAGTATTAAATTACTCAAACAAGCTCTTCAGTTAAATAATGCAACTAATATCTAGATTTTCAATTTGAGGAGCTATGTTTCTTTTAAAGGATGAAAAATTATTTGGACTACTAGACGTTAACATAACTGACACAGTCTGGAGTTCACACTGAGATAGGAATGGTGAGCACGTGATTCTGCACTTTTCTTGATTCCATCATTCAAATCATATGCTGACTAGATTATGGCGTCAGCAACACACTGTTGGGTTAAATTTTGACAGCAGTACGGTGGCTCTGAAAAAGGCATTTTCTAGGCTAGAAACGTGAATGAAGACATGTAGACTCTATAAACATTTTATTTTTTATCACTAAAACTGAAAATTATTTGTTTAATTTATCTAAATAATTCAGATTCAAACTCCTTCAACAGATACTTCCATTAGTTGATAAGAATTATATCTTTATCTGGAGCTGAGGAAATGTTTGTCTTTTAACAGTCCGTAGAGCTGGGGAGAAAAACCCAGTGGAGAAATCTATTACATATAACTAGGTAGTTTTCAGAAATTGAGAAATAGTATTTATTCTACTCATTAACTTTTAAAATTAAGAATATGGGACATGAATTTCTATTGGATAATAGAATAGATAATAAATATAACAACCTCTTGACAGACAGACAGAAGAGGAGACGAAGTGAGCAGAAAGAAAGTAAAGAAAAAGGGAACAGACAGACATGCAGGCAGAAATTAATTCAGTTGTTAAACAGCTGTGAGCTCCTCACATGTGCGGGTCCCTGAGCCACAAAGGCAGGAGCCTGAGCCCCGGGGAGCTGACAGCTGTTGGAGGAGATGCTGGATAAGCAGCTGGTCATGAGTTAGGAGAACATTCAGGCTTTAATGACTTGGGGACTGAAGGGGGCTTCACGGAGGCCAGGCATCTGAACTGGGTCTTGAAGACCACGTGAGTTTGGCAGGCAGACAAAGGAGGAAGAGAGAAGTAGAGCACATTCCTTGTGCAATGACCTAGAGGCTTAAAATAGCAGTTCTTTATCATAAATCAGGCTCTATTTATGCTAATATAACCAAACTTTAGGAAAATATTTTAGCAGGTGGTTATAGTTAGGGTGACTATGGCAGAATACACGTATCTAATTTTGCCCCTTCTTGAAACCCCCTAAAACTAAAGAATTTTTAAAAAGACATAAACTCACAAAGGTAGCAGGAAAAGGAGAGAGGATGACAGCAACATTTTGGAAGCCAGAAAGCAGACAGGCCGGTGGTAACTGACTCCAGCAGCCTGAAAAGGCTGTGCCTCGAGTCATTGGTGGTAAAGCTGAGAACTAAGTCCATGTCCACCACAGAATCCTCGAAAGAGGCAGCAGCAGGAAGCTCTGGAACTGGGGGTGGAGGGGACAGCTAAAATAAGGACTAGGTGAGAAGCTGTTAGAGAAGCAGTTCGATCCCTAGGTCCTCGCTGCTCGAAGTGTGATCCCACCTCGGACCAGCAGCAGCCGCAGCGGCATTACCTGAAGCCTCTCAGGCTTGCAGCATCTCAGGCTCCACCCCAGACCTACTGAACGAAAGCCTACATTTTAACCAGATCACCAGGTGACTTGTATGCACATCAAAGTCTGAGAAGCGCTGTCTCAGGTCTTTCCTCCAATCTAAGCCACCAGGAGATAGGAGAGCCCCTCCCAGCTGAGGACACATCCGGAACTTTATCCTACAGAAATGGTGAAACAGAGTCTCTGGACTGGGAGTCACTGGGAACGTCTGAGGACAAGAAAATGGGGGGGAAATGGATTGTATGCTTGCTGATCACTGAATGGAGGGATCACAGCCCTCTTCCCCAGCTCCAAGAAGGCTGGCAGCCATACCTTTATCCTTCAGGAGAAAACTGCGACTCTCTCAAGAATCTGACCTGCCTACCTAGAAGAAAATACCCGAGTCCTGACCACAGGGATTCCCCAACATGCCACCCTGGTCCTCCGACAGTGAGGCTTCAAGGTGACCCACGTGCTCCAGGTCACCCATGTGCTCCAGGCTTCACATTAGCCTTTTAATCCAAGCCCTTTGACCATGAGCAAACAGTCCAAAGAAAAAACAAACCAAAAACCCTCTTACATTAAAGATAGAGACCAGAACAAATAGAAAAAAGCAACTTGGAGAAAACAAATATTAGGAAAATGAAGATTTCAAAAACTCTATATCCTCAAAGGGATGAGAAGATGTTGTAACCACAAAACAAGAGTCTATGAAAAAAGAATATTCAGAGACTAAACAAAGCTCTCAAAATATAAAAACACGATAGAAACTGCAAAACTCAATAGAAGGGGTGGATAACATTGATAAAATCTCTAACACAGTCAAGCAAAAAGAATAGAAGAGAAAAAAATGAGAAAATTAGAGAGCTAGATCAGGAAATCCAACATCCAACTAACAGAATTTCTTGAAAGAGAAAAGAGTGGGGGTCAGGGGAGAGATGAGCAGGAAAGGAAATGCTGGTCAATGAGATCAAGAGAATTTTCTAGACCTGAGGGACATGACTTTCCAAATTGAAAGGACCAATTAGATCATAGCACAATGGATGAAGACAGACCCTGACCATGGCACATGGCTGTAAATTTCCAGAACACTGAGAACAGAGAAGATTCTACAAGCTTGGGGGCAAGAGGTGGGGAGTGGGCTGGATAAGTCAGATACTAAAGGATCAAGAATTAGAATGGACTGGGATATATCCACAGCAACAGTGAAAGACAATGGAAGAATGTTTTTTTAAAGATCTAAAGGAAAAATGATTCCCAGCTTAGAATTCTACATCTAGCCAAACCATCAGTCAAGAATTGGGATACACACTCAAGAATCTACTGGCAGATGTAGTCTACTAAGATGAAATGGTAGAATAGGAAAGAAGAAATGAGATACCACAGGCTAGAGATCATTACAGAGGAGAGGCATCTAAAGTCCCCAGGAAGATGGTGAGAGGAGATGCCAGGATAAGGGAGGTACACAGGCATCATCCCTGAGATCACACTGCCATTTTACCACCTTGTTAAGCGAGGACCAAATGCCCAGGTGAGCCTACCCTCAATTCTTTGATCTACTTGCTTTGTCCTGACCACATCTCTGCTCTCTTCTTCATGCCCTGCTTTCTGGGGTAGCCAAGAGAACTCATTTCAGCCCTGCGCAATTGTTTGCCTTTGACCTGCTCTGAGATCTGGGGATAAGTTGTGGGGAGTGCAAGAAAAGAAAGACCGAATACCCATGCCCTTTGGATACCCAGTACCTGGTCTACACTACAGCTCTGCCAGAAGCCCTGTAAGGGTGAGCCCCGTATTCCCCAGGCCTCACTCACGACCTTGCCCAGAAGGGGCTCTTGTAAACGCTCAGGGACGCTGAGCCAAACTAAGATCCAGAGACTGCTCAACTGATCTTCTCCCAAGGCCTTTCATCGTGTATTGGCAATACTGGCCTTTCTTTTATTCATCTCATTTTGTGCTTGGTACCCAGTTTTTCAAAAATAAACATTTAATTTACTAAAGGAATATACACAAGTGGGAAACTGGAAAGAAAAATAAGCAAAGGGAATGATTAACACAAAAATCAAGAGAAAGTTTCTTCTTGGCGGGGTAGGGAGAAGAGTGCAATTCGGGGGACACACAGGGGCTTTGCAGGTTCAGGGACTGCTCTGGTTCCCAACCTGGGTGGTATGTACATGGGTGTCCACTTTACTCCTCTCTAAATGGTACATATTTCACATATGCTTCTTATGATACTGCTCTTACCTATTTATTGTCAAATAGAACACGTGTACAGAAAAGAGCATAGCGTTTATGTAAGATATACTTCACCATTAAAGTTTATTAAGGTCTTACTTTTTGCAACATAATTCCGTTTTTGTGGTATTATCGATAGTATTTGTGCCTACACTTTCAAGGAGTTTCAACTAGTAAGCTCCTGAAAGGCAGTATTCAAAAGAATCTACTTATTCGTTTTCACTTTAGAATCATTCATGATGTTAAGCAAAGAACAACTACTCAACACGTACACACATAAATACAGCGAAAGTGAAGGACGCGATTTTTGTCCCATGTGCAACGTTCTACAAAAGCTATCCAGAGCCAGACATACCTGCAACTCAGGAACCTGGGAATTTAGGGTTGTTGACGGCTTGGGTCCCAACTCAGAGGTCTACTCTGAATGCAAAGCATCTGACAAGGGCTCTCGTGAGATGCTGGTCACGAAAGAAACCTTCTGTTAGCATTTTTCATATACAAGTGGGTTTAATACAGCAAAGAGACTTAGAGAAATGAGCTGGAACATAACATCAAGTGCAGGACCCACTTAGTGACTACAACTCAAGAAGAGTTACAGTATCAATCTTGTAAAAACACCTTTGACCAAAAGTAGCATTCAAGAAACATACTCAAATGCAAACAAGTTACAGGACAGCAGCTTTCAATACTCAACCTTCATATAGCCTAGTATTTGGGCCAATCTTGCTTGAAAAAAGAAGCCTTATAAGAATCTTTCAGAAAGATTTTCAAACCTTTCACCCATCCTCATGTAAAGGCCTTTCTCCACAACGCTAAGCCTGAGCACTTTCTGTCATAACTGTCTGTCACTGAAGTTGGTGTCAAGAGGTCTTGGGAGAAGAAGGGAGCTGGCAATGCACTGCCAACTGGGATGCCTGAGGGGGTGCGGTCCTGTGACAGGGGGTGCTGTGGGCTCCGGGGCCTCAGGGAAACTGGGCAGTGGACCCCCAGGTAGCGGCAACAAGCGAATCCATCTGCCAGGTGGACAAGGCAGACCCCTCCCCTGAGTACTGGAAGACCATCTAGCAAAAACAACAAAGGCTTCCTCTTTGTTTGATATAAACTTTTTTTTTTTTTTTAAAGATTTTATTTTTTCCTTTTTCTCCCCAAAGCCACCCAGTACATAGTTGTATATTCTTCGTTGTGGGTCCTTCTAGTTGTGGCATGTGGGATGCTGCCTCAGCGTGGTTTGATGAGCAGTGTCATGTCCACGCCCAGGATTCGAACCAATGAAACACTGGGCCGCCTGCAGCGGAGCACGCAAACTTAACCACTCGGCCACGGGGCCAGCCCCTGTTTGATATAAACTTTTACGTTGTTCACATTTAGTAGAGCAATTTTGAAATTGTTGAAACATCATATTTGTCAGAGAAAGAAGCTGCCAACTACTTTATTCTCCACATGCACACAGGTTTGGTTTCTTACTGTCTTGTTTTGCCATCAGTATTTTATTGGAATAATCCCCTTGTCTTGACGCCTTCACCCTCTTTCAGTTGGTTCTTTTATCTTGCCTCATCCATTTACACATCAAAAATGCTGATATTTGAAGTTTGACCAATTTACTCTTCATCGAGGTAAGCGATGAAGAACACTTCTCTAGCCTCCAATAATCCTCCTTCAGAAACGTTCTCGCTTCCTATTTCCTCATGTGAAACATGCCCACTGAGCACCCAGCACTGATGCTGTATTGACATTCGGGCAGGCCCTTTGTTTAAATCCAGCTTAGAAGTGATTTCCAAGTTCAGTTATACCTTCCAAATGGATAACAGTTAAACTGGAGAAAGTTCGGGGGTCAGACAGACCCAGATTTCCATGCTAACTCCCCTATTAGTAGCTGTGTGCCCTGGTCAAATCGCTCAGCCTCTCTGAGTCTTGGGTTCCTCCTCCAGGGAATGACAATCATCACATTCCCCTCCCCCGCGGAGCAGGGTCATGAAATCACATAATGTCTAGAAAGACTTTCCTGGGGTGCTCCCCACTCACTGCAATCTTCTTTTTAAAATTTTTATTTCAGAATTTAGCCTTCTTTTATGTCTATCATATTCTAAACCACAGGCTATTTAAATAACAGATAAAATATTTAAAGTGTTGTTTTTTTTTAGGATCTGTAAATAACGTTTGTAAACATAAATGGAATCTAATAAGTGAAATATGGAAAGATGATATCTTTTAAGTGCATTTTCCAAATATAATAATTTCAGCATTATTATGAGATATTAATTATTAAACAGATGGATAAATTGCTTTTTATTTTAAAATTAGAATGTTTTTAACATCACTTGCGATTCATCATGGCATACTTACTGTTCTCTTTTAGTGCCTCTCTCTAATTCCAAGATCCCACTAAAATTACAGTTTAATTATTTAAAAAATAATAAGAAAGATATATATTCTGAAAAATAAAGAAAACTGGAGGAGAGATATCACCAGATGAGCAACTTCAAACAAGCTTTGGAAACAGAGGGGGACGGTGGTGTGGGAAAATGCCTTAGCACAGCATAGGCCGCAACGTGAAGCATCTGAGGAGGTGGCCCCCATGAGAAGGGAGCCCGCTGACCCGTGGGACCCATGACCTCTAGGACCTGGAGGCCCCAAGTGACACAGAAAGTGGCAATGAGGCACAGGGCTGAAATGAGAGGATGATTCAGTGTCTGTGAACAGAACAACTGGACCCCCAGGTCCTTTACCCCTCCCCACCCCCACACGTAGACAGCCACACTCCTAGGCAAGAAAACAAAGAGTTATTCTCTGAACAGATTAACAAGAAAGGCTCCAAACTTGGAGGCAGCGAGCTGAAAGCAGGGGATACGGTCAGAGGCTACAGGCTGGATGGTGGAATCCCCAGCTCTCTGCCCTGCTGCCAGGAGACTGGAAGCCAGGAGAAAGAAGTAAAAAGCCCTGGATCTTAGAATTGCGAACCCTGTTAAAAATACTGTCGATAAATGAAGCAATTCAAATCGTAACTACATTCTCCCCTCCAGACACCCACTCTCAATGGAAATAGAAAGTTACCTGAAGATGTTATTCACAATTTCATCCTTTGCTTATGTCTCTTCTCTCCCTGGATGAGTTTTCTGTCAGCCAGCTGTCAGTTCCTACTGAAGGAAATCAAAGCTATTCAGAGTTACATAAATACCAATAATTTGTTTCACACATCTCTCCCATTTGGAGTCTGGTTTTTCAATTCCTTGTGAAGCCATTTCTACAGTGTTGGTTCAGTTACCCATAGAGCACTGATTAGGAGTCTGAAAAGCGTCGGGAGTGGATCCTACGCACGGCCACCCTGTGTGTGTGTCTGCAGGACCCAGCCTGCTCTGCAAGGGCTGCTGGAATCGGAAGGGCTGCAGCCCTCACCAGGTCGGCTGCATTCTGTGCAGAGGAAGAGGTGGAGGAAGGCAGGGTGAGGGAACTCTCCCAAAGTCACTCCTCTTACTTGCCTGCTCCCCAGGACTTGATCAAATGTTCCTGTGCCCTGTCTCTCCCATCTCCTTGCTTCCTGGATGGCCAGCTTCCCCCACAGTAGGGTTCTGTTTGAGTACCTGATCTGTCTGGTATGTTACACGGTAGTGCCACCGGGCTGAGGAGCTTTCCAAGCCCCCTTGGAGACGACAGGCTTGGCCTTTCCTGTGGCTTTTTCTCCCCAAGTCACTGCAGTTTTCCTCTTATTGAGAGAGCAATATTGTTTTCCTTTGAACCTCTTGCTTCACCTACAAATAGGATTTGTGCTCCCTCTCATAAAGTTAGTTGTCTGGCCATGGTGGGGGAGGGCAGCCAGGGGGGAGAAATTAACAAATGGATTTCAAGCTCGAAATTCAGCCCTTCGCCCTTGTCCCAGGCTGCCCTCTCTCTGTGCTGCCCGTAGCTGGACCAGAGCGAGCTGGGAGGAGGCAGCAGGCTGTGCCTCAAAGAAAGGGGCTGTGTCTCCTCCAAGTCACCAACCCTCTGGCAGCCGTTCCTCTGAGCCTCATCTTAGGGTTAATATCTACTTTACAGAAGATGATTGTGAGGATTTAAAAAGATCCTAATACACTTGCCACTTAGGAATTCAACAAATGTCAGTTTCTAAAGATGCATCACTAAACGTGAGTCTTCTGGGCTGGAGGAGTCTGACAGTGGGAGGCCAAGGTGCCTGATGGGTTCCCCACCTTCTGTGTTCATAGGAATCACACGCAGAGCTGGTTAAAAAGAAGATTCCAGGCTCCACTCCCAGATATTCAATAGGGGGTGCTTCCTGTGCACACTTGGAGAAAATCTGTGACAAGCTCTCCACTCCTTGTTCCAGTCCCACTTCTTATTTGGCTATCAACCCTGCCTCAGGCTCCCACCAGGCTGTCTCATCATTACCTCCAGGAGGTCTGATGCTCAACTCTCCTGCAGGAGCAAGGGCAGAGATGACTGCCTTGGCCTAGAGAGGGGTACAGGGAGCCCACAGGTCCAGAGAAGAGTGCAGCCTCCAGTTAGAATGGGCCAGGGGCTGGAGGTTTGCTCTCCTGCCCTTCCCAAACAAGTTTGAAGAAATCCAGAGTTGTAGTGGGCAGCCCAAGGCCAGGATGCCAGGCCAGCTGCACTTGGAACGCCTGCCACAAGCAAAATACACGTCTCCTCCCGGTGCAAGGAAACAGGCAGAGTCAGAACAAAAGACGCACCTGAGATTGTCCCAGAAATGTAACGGCTTGCCAGGGAAAGTATTCTTCTCTGGCACCAGCCTGTGAGAAATATTTAGAAGCTGCCCAAGGCAAGGAGTAGCTGGTAAGGTTTGCTGTGTTTCCCACACATACCCAAAAAGGGCCGGTGTCTTCTAGTTACTTCGGCTGTCCCCCAGGTCTCTGGGGCTGAGGCCTGGGGCAGCCAGACCCCCATCCCTTTCAGCAGACGCCCTCCCAGCACACACACACACACACACACACACACGCACGCAGACCTATACCTCCAAGTCTCAGGGAACCAAGGTGATGGATTTCCAAGCAGTTGAGGATTCTGGCCGCGTCTCCACAGTCGCCGCTGGCTCCGGGAGCCGGGAGCCGGGAGCCGAGCTCGTTTCCTCAGCTTCTCCTGAGTAGGAGGGAGCGAGCCCGAGGTGCTGTCGGAGAAGGGCAAAGGAAGGTGACTGGGGCGACAGCGCCAGGGCACCGGTGGGGGCCGGGCGCGCGTTTCGTCGCCTGTCTCTGAGCCAAGGCAGGCAGCTGGAGGCCGAGGCGATCGCCATCCACGAGCAGAGGGTCAGCCCAGAGCCGCTGCGAAGTGGTCCCCGCACCGCCGGCCCGGAGGACGCGGCCCTCCCTGGGGAGCAGCCATTGCCCCCATCCTGGGGCAGGCGCACCTCTGGACCCCGGCTCTCCCGAAAGGGGTCCGGGGTCCTAGTGCCAAGGCTGTGCGCCCCCGAGAGGCGCCAGTTCCGGGCTGACTGCCCCTATGTGGCTCCCATTTGCCGAGCTAGCGGCTGCAAGCGGCTCCGCGGACCCGAGCCCGCACCTCCCGCTGCCCCGCGGCCCGAGGCACCTGCGGCGACGCGCCCAGGTCGGACCCTCCGACCAGCGCGCTCCTGCGGCCGAGCGCGCGCCGCTCCCGCTGCGGCGCCGACCCGCGCCGCCGGCCCTCCCCGCTCCCCCCGGACACCCCGCGGCCACGGGCCGCCCCATCCTGTCCCCGGCGCGGTCAGGCCGAGGAGGAGGCGACAGCCGCATCCCGGCGGGGTCGTGACGGAGCCGCCGCAAAGCCCGAGCCGAGAGCCGCGGGGACTGCGGGAGGCGCGAGGGGGTCCCGCGATGGCGCCCCTCGGCCCGCGCGGGTCTCTCCGCCCCGGGGCCCCGCAGTGTCAGTGCGCGGCAGGGGCGGCCGCGGGGCCCCGGGCTCGCCCTCGGCGCCCTCCGCCCGGCAGCCGGCGCTGCAACCAAAGTTTCCCCAAGTGCCGCCCGCAGAGACGGCGCCGCTCGCCGGCCGGACGCGCTGTCGGGGCGGCGGCGGCGACTCCCACCTCCCGGCTCGGCAGGGACCCCCGGCGCCGGCGGCCCGGCGCCCTCCGGGCTGGGCTTGCTCCTCCGCGGCGCCCGGCGGCTCGAGGCGCAGACCCGGAGGTGCCGCCCTGCGCCGCCCCTGCCGCCGGAGAGAGCGCGCGGCGGCCCGGGCTGCGAGCCGTGGGCGCGGGGGCCGCGAGGCGCGCACCTCGCCAGACGCCGGCGGCGCCGCGCTGCGGCCGCGAGTGACGCGCGGGCTCGGGCTCGGGCTCGGGCTGCGCGGCGGGGGCGGCGGGGCCGAGGTCTGCCCTCGAGGCTCGGCCTCCCGTCCCTGCACGTGCGCCCCCGCCCCAGCCCGGCCGCTGTGCTCGGCCCGGGCGGCTCGGCCCCGAGCAGGGGCCGCAGGGTCTTCCAGCTGCGGGGCGCGACCGCTGCTGCATCTCGGGCCCCGGTTCCCCCGTCCGTCTCTGCGTCCCTCCCCCGGTTCACATCCTCCCGGCTGCTCCCTGTCTGTCCCCCGCGGGTCCCTCTTTCCCTTTCGGGTCCCTGAACCTCCTTTAGGAACGGCCGGAGTTTCACTTCAGCTTGGGGGGGGTGGGTGGGGGTGGGAGCAACCCTTCTTGTTTTTGTTGTTATGAGTTTATAACTTTATTACAGTATTATTACAACATCAGTGTAACACCTTAACAAAACTCCTCATAATGTATCGTATGTGTTAAACTCCAGTGCGGGATAAAGGGAGACGAAATTAAGAAGCAGCAATGATCTTAACTCTTCATTTATGGTCAAGTGGAGAAAAGACCATGACCATTTGTTGTTGTTCAGATAACGTCAACGAAAACCACTCTGTAGTTTTGGGTCCCCAAAGGGGGAAAGTAGGCTTATCTCTGGGCAGGCTTCCTTTATTTAGGGAAATAATCCGCTGAAATGGGCCCTTAGTGGATCTATGAAAGCAAGTTCACAGGACATGTTAACCCAGAGTTGGGCTCTAGGGATGTGGAACCCTGAATCTGGGTTGCCCTGTGCCCAGGCCACTTGTTGGGGGAGACTGGAGGTGCCCAGGGAGGGACTGGGCAAATTTGCATGAAGGCACAGATCCTGTTTCCCCCACTCAAAAAAAAAAAGTTTTATTAACCTATAGTGCATATTAAAAGGTGCACATTTCACAAGTTCAATGAGTTCACAGAAACTGAAGCATCGTTAAGATCAAGGGACAGAAGGGGCCGGCCTGGTGGCCTAGCGGTCGTTTGCGGGCTCTGCTTCATAGACCATGGTTCGTGGCCCACAGCATGGGGGCCACCGCTTATGAAACCATGCTGTGGTGGTGTCCCACATACAAAACAGAGGAAGATTGGCACAGACGTTAGCTCAGGGCCAATCTTCCTCACCAAAAAAAAAAAGAGAGAGGGAATGAGAGAGACAGAAGACTGACAGCTCCCCAGAAGACTCCCTCATATCTCCCTTTGCGCTGACAGGGTAGTGGCTTCAACCAGCACAGATTACTTCTCTTGTGTTTGTACTTTATAGCAATTGAACCACAGAGGATATACTCTGTTGTCTGGCTTCTTTCAGTCAACATTATGTTTAAGAGATGCTACTGTCTGTGGTCATAGTTTGTCCATTGTTTTTGCTTTGTAGTATTCCACTGTGTGAATGCACCTCAATTTATTCATTTTACTACTGGTAGACATCTGGGTAATTCTCAGGTTTGGGACATTATGAATAATAGCATGGCTGTAGTAACATCAGAGTAGACGTCTTTGGTGAACACGTACACACATTTCCAGTGGGGACAGACCTGGGAGTGGAAGTGTGAGTCATTAACAGGCATATGCTCAGCTCCTGGAGATATTGCCAAACAGTTTCTCAAAGTAGATGATCTAATTTTCACTTCTATTCTTTAGTTCCCTATTGCTGCTTATAACAAATTACCACAAACTTGGTGATTTAAAACAACACAAATTTATTCTCTTATGGTTCTGGAAGTCAAATGTCCAAATGGGGTTTCACACACCTAAGTTAGGTAAGGGCAGGGCCGCGCTCTTTCTGGAGGCTCCAGGGAGAATCCGTTTTCTTGCCTTTTCCAGCTTCTCGAGGCTGCTGCATTCCTTGGCTGGTGGCCCCTTCCTCTGTCTTTGAATCTCAATTTCTCACGCTCTCAACTCTGCTTCTGTTGTCACACATCTTTCTCTCCTGCTCCCTTCTCTCCCTCTGGGGGAGATTGTGATTATTCTGGGCCCACTCTGATAATGCAGAATAATTTCCCGTCTCAAGATCCTTAGTTTATTACATCTGTAAAGTTCCTTTTGTCATGTAAGGTGACGTATTCATAGATTCCCAGGATTAGGACGTGAACCTCTTCGGGGTCCCATTATTCAGCCTGCTACAGCCTATTACCACAGCGGAGTACGGGAACATGCAGATGGAGAGAGATGGAAAAATAAACCGACAATGAAGCCGTAAGGTACAATTCAGCTGGAGAACTGGCACTGTTGACCTGGGTGCCATGCCAGGGCTGGTAGGCAGGAGAAAAAGGCTGTTGCTAGAACATCACCTCTGGCCACCATCCCCCTGGCACCACCACCATGTCTAGGGCAAGGGGCTTTCATACAGAGAATGAGTGTCCAGGTCCCTGTGTACCTGGGCACCCTGCTGAGTGAAACGTTAGGGAAGGCATACCCTCCTTTGTCTGAGTTGGTAACAGCAAGAAAACAATGGGAACACATCACATTTTGCGTGGCAGGCACGGCCCTGTGTGAGTGGACAGTGCCTCCACCCGGTGTCATGTCCCTGTCCACCCATCCCCCAGGCTCTGGAGACTCATCTGTTTCAGGGTTGATGTGGAACTGTTGATGGTGGTAAGTGAGGGTGGGGTGGGGTGGCAGAGCCTGCTAACCTGGGCAGGTGTGCCCGGGCCTTCATTGTAACTTGAATGCTGAAGAGAGATGACTTAACATTCAAGGCTTGAGGATGAGGACACAGCTTCTACCTACTTCTGGTCTCATTTCAGTGCAGCAACCACACCCTTGAAGACGACAGGACTGGTATTATTATCCCCTTCTTACCAGTGAGATGCCAGGGCTCCAAGAGGCTTTCTGGTTTACACAAGGAGCCTCAGGAATGCAACCAAGAACAGAATGGGGCCCGCAGCTCTTCCTGCTGTCCTGGGTGCTGCTCCACTGCCTAGTGTGTGAGAGTCACTGAGACCCGAGGTGATGGGAGCTGAGAGGCAGAAGTGACCCAAGGTGTGTAAGCCAGATGGACACATCCTACTCTGTGGGTGATAAAGTGGGATTACCTGGAATATGAGACTTCCTGTCCTCTCGTTTTTACGCCATTAAAAATATGTCTTGGTGGGGGTTTAGGAACAAGTTAAAGTAGATGCCAGTGTTTGATAAGCATTTGATCAGATCTCTACATCTGCTTTCTGCCTTCCAGAAAGAAGCTGAACACTTGGGTCTACTCACAAAACCTCTCCAGTTCTCTTCAACATTGTGGTTTATACCACAATTTATTCGCTATCTTTTTAACTCGGATCTCAAGACAGAGAGGAGATGTGTGGTTAGTCTGCAGGTTTGAATTATCAATCTCATTGTCATCATCATCATTAATAACTTCTTTCCTTTCTTGAACAGATTTTTTTCCCCCTGGACTTTTTGTCTTCCCTTCCACTACCCCCAACTTAAGTTTCTCTGCCTTGATTGCTTACTTAAATTGTTCCAAATTCCCAGTGTCAGACCTTTGGAATCTCCTTTCACCTCCTCTTGTTCAAGTTTTGACGGACAGCTTCCTGGGAACACTGCTGTGCCGTCCCCCTGGGACCTTGCTCTGTGCTTCTCCTGGATGGATCCTGATCTATGGATCCTCTGTCTGCCTCTTTCTTAATTCACTTCCTCACTTTGTTGGTACATATCTCCAGTGACTTCCTAGAAAGGGTACATGGAAGGTAAATTTTTGAGTCCTTGCATATCTGAAAAAGTCTTACCCTAACACTTCTTTGATCAGTTTCCCGGGTTTAAAGTGCTAAGTTGAAAATAATTGTCCTTCAGAAATCTGAAGGCATTCCTCCCCTGTCTTCTAGTTCCCAGAGGTATTGAGGGAAAATCTGAAGCCATTCTGATTCCTGATCTGTTATTTGGGACATGTACTCCCTCTCTCTTTGGAAACATGTAGGATTTACTCTTTTTCTACAGCGGTCTAAAATTTCACTGTTTGCCTTGATCTGGGTCTATTCTTATGCAATGTTTTAGGCACTTGGGAAGCCCGTTACATCAGGAGCTCATGGCGTTCAGTTCCAGGGATTTTGTTGGAAAGCGGTCATTCAACAGTGCAGCGAACAATGCACAGACGCTCAGAGCGGGAGAAAAACTTACTTGATTTTTAACTTTGAAGACCGAGTGCAGAAGACAATTATAATTGCAGGAGAGAATAACCTTTTATCAACCTTAGTGATATAAAAATAAAAGTACAGATGACAGAGCAGGGAGTTAGGAGAAAGGAAGGGAGGGAGTGGAAGGTGGGGTCTCTGAGAGCCTCGCTTACCAAGCAGGCGTGGGGGTGCAG